GTCCTAGAACACCTTGTTCATCCATCACTCGCCTCCCTTCCATCCTGAGACCCCACATCTTGCCACATGACTGTCTTATGTACCCCTAAAAGCCCTCCTGGGAGGTCGCTCCTCTTCCACCGGCCATACCACCAGGGTAGAAGGAACCAAAGGAAAAAACCAGATACAGTGCCTGCCAGCCAGTTCAGAATGGCCACCCACAGGCTCTGCAGAGGGAGCGGACTGCTGGTCTCCTGGCTCACTTTGGGGCTTTTTTAAAAAAATGCAAACGTCTTTGATAGAACACTTTCCCAGGCTGATGGGAATTGGGAACGTCCTCTAATGGACACTCCTGATCAGCAATCTGGCCACAATGCCCTGACAGCTCCGTCCACTGGGCTAGCTCCGGCAGGGCCATGTGTGCTGCGAGCTCTCTGGGTGGACTGGGGCCACCCTTCTTTGAGACCAATTTCCCCCCGCCACTCCCTTCCCAGGGTGTTGTCTATGCAGATAGTGCCATGGATCTTGGAGACTGCCCAGCAATTACAGTGCAGTAGGGGTACGAGGTGGCATTCTGGGGGGGCAAGCAGACATCAGGAGGGGACATGGGCACACTAGGTGGGGAAGGAGCATGGGCACACTAGACGGGGAGGGGGTGCAGGCACACCCAGAAGGGAGTGTAGGCACATGTGGGGAGGGGGGCACACATGGGGGAGCAATGTGGGGAGGGGGCACACATGCAGAGGGGACAAACGTGGGGGGCACATGTGGGGAGGGGCCACACATGGGGAGGGGGCACACACGAGGGGTTACGTGGGGGGTACATGTGGGGAGGGGGCACATGTGGGGAGGAGGGCACACACAGGGGGCACATGTGGGAGGTGGCACACACGAGGGGGTACATGTGGGGGCACACATGGGGAGGGGGCACACATGGGGAGGGGGCACACGTGGGGGGGCACATGTGGGGAGGGATGCAGGCACATGCAGGGATGGTAGTATGTGCTGCAAACTAACTGGTCACTTCCTGTCCTGGTCCCTTAAGCCCTCCCATCCGGGGCAGCCCCACTGGGTAAGCTCTGAGGGCTGGGGTCTCCCTCTGGGAATAACACCAAAATAGCGGAAGAGAGAAAAGAGAATGGGAACTTCTGGAGTGGGGGTCTCCAAGAAGGCCAGCCACACCGGTGTGGACTGTGGCCAGTCATGGATGTGGGCTGGACTCTGTGGAGCCAGCAGGGTAGTGGGGACCCCTGAAGATGGTCCTGGTGGGGCATCTTGAGCAGACAGTACCTGCTAAAGGCTTTTGAGAACCTCGTGCCAGGGGGTCTACCAGGCACCTCCAGCTGCAGCTAGCTAGGCTTCACAGTCGGCCTCCAGCCTGATCCACACCTGGAGGTGACCTGGGTGAATCTCCAGGGCCTTCCTGGGTCTCCAGCCCCTGAGGTCCACGCTGAGCTCTCCTCGGCACCACCTGTAGGGCACCACCTTGGGGCACCACCTGTAGGGCACCAGCTGTTGCCACTCTCTCAGACTTGGGAATGCTGGGGAACGGCTGCTACCAAGGGCCACCTCTTGTGGAGCCTCCAGCCACACTGTGGGGGTGCTTCTCAGGCTTCAGGGGTTTCCTCCAACAAGCCAGTTTCCTGTTTTCTCAAGAAAGCACACAGCCAAGGTTCTGAAAAGCTCATTAAGACGCCTCCAGGGCATCTAGGACACTGTGTGTGTGGGGTGGGTCTGCGGACACTAGCAGCAGGGTGCAGACAAAGAGAGCAGCAGCGGAAGTGGTTCCTGTTGCCTGAGCCTCACGGAGGAAGGGGCCCCTCGGTCTGCTCACCCCCATTGGCTCTTGAGAGGCAGCCAGGACGGAAGCCAGGCCTGCCTTCCAGTCCCTGCTGCTTCTCTGCAGTTGAGAGAAAAGGTGTTTAGGGGCAGCTGGGAGCCCCAGTGAGCAGCTTCTGGCTCCACCCTGGTCAGGAGGCCCCCCAGCAGGGCAACCTTGGCCAGCCTGGCCAGGGCCAGTACGGACACATCAGTTCAGAGGGATGCAGAGTCCCCCACCTGGTCAAGCTCTCCTCAGGCAGGACTGTGTGGAGAGCACCCTTCTCTTATGGGGGAAGGTCCCTTGACTCCTGACCCCAAGTGACCTTGCTCCAATGAGACCATGTTCGCTCTGGAATCTCCTTGCCCAGAATTGGCTGGTGGCGCAGAGTGGACCTAGAGCCATCAATGACCCAGACATCACCCAAGGTCAGTGGGTCCCACCAGGAGTGAGCCCTTCAACAACCCTGACTCTGGGAGCAGCCCTGCGTACTGTCCACCTTTAAACCCAATAGGGCTGGACTGTCCCCTACTGAGGGGGCGACTGGGCAATGCTCCCACAGTCCTTCCACAAGTAGCTAGCTGAGGCCGAGGCATGGCAGGAGTAGCCAGGAGCAAGCATGGACACCAGCCGAGACCCCCAGGGTCTCTATGTGTGCAAGTCTGGGAGGTTGGGGGGAAGAGCCACACAGCCCCTTCTGTCCACGGGCGGTCGTGGGCATGATGGGAGCTGCCCTGGCTCCTTGAGAGCACTCAGGGCCTTTGGTCATGACCTGCCTGGAGTGGGGCCCACCAGTCGAGGGACCCACCTGACAGCGGCTGAAGACATCCGAGAGGGTGACAAACACATTGAAATGCTTGAGCACAACTTGCACCTGCTCGCGGGCCTTGAGGGAGCAGTCAACTTGGAGGCAGCGCCCGGGCCCCACCTGAGCCCGCAGCTGTGGGGGGAGATGGCACTCAGCTGGGCAGGGGTGCAGACCTGCCTCCCCACTGCCGCCCTCTTGGGGCCTGGGACATGGTGGCTGAGGGGTGGCTGCCCAGTCCCCTGGAAGGCAGGGCTCTGATGGGCTCACCTTGTGGTAGGGCAGCCCTGAAGTCAGGATGATCCTCCCCTCCTGCCTGGCCACCTGCAGGCAGAACAGAACACTCTGGAACAGACACTATGGCCCAACCCAAGCTCCCTCTGTCTCCCAAACCCCAGGCGTGGGACCCTGCAACAGCTCTGGGGTCCAGGAGCACATAGGGAAGTCCACTCTGGCCTCTGAGGGCCTGACCTTTCTCTAGGAGTAGCCTGGCCCCCAGTACAGCCAACAATCTGCAATCAGATAGCACAGCCCTGAGGGCCTGCGCCACTGAGAGAGGGCCAGTGTGGCCAGAACCCTCAGACCCAGAGTAAGCTGCTCAGAACAGCCCGGTTCCAGACGGGCTGAGAGCTGGAACTGATGAGCTACTGAGCTGACTGGAAGGGATTGAATACGGCTTCAGATAGAGGAACAACATGAAACAGGAGCTTGAGACCAGAGTCAAACAAGTGAAAACGGATTGGATGCAGAATGCATGACAGATAATGAATAGGAGATCCTGATGAGTTCAAGGGCAAATGGCTGAGGATTTTCTAAAACCAAAGAAAGATCCAAATTCTCAGATTGGCCTAGTGGTAAGGAGCTGTGCTGTCAGCCTCAAGACATGTGGTTCAAATCCACCAGCTGTTCCCTGGAGAAGGATGGGCAATCTTCTGTGGTGCAATTTGTTGTTGTTAGGTGCCATCAAGTCGAGTACCACAGTGATTCTAAGAACAACAGATCTGAACCCCGTCCTGTCCTGCGCCATCCTCACACTTCCTGACACATTAGAGCCCATCGCGGCAGTCACCATGTCAGTCCACCTGGTTGAGGGTCTTCCTCTCCTTCCCCAACCCTCTACCTTCCCATCACCATGTCTTTCTCCAAGGAATAGCCCCTCCAAAGTATGTGAGGTGAGGTCTTAGCATTCTTGCCTCCAAAGAGCACTCCTGCTGCACTCTCTCCAAGACATATCTGTTAGTTCTCTTGGCTGTCCAAGGGATGTTCAGTGCTCTTCTCCAACAGCACAGCTCAAAGGCATCGATTCTTCTGTTATCATTATTCATTGTCCTGCTCTCAGATACATAGGAAGTGATCAGAAAGACCATGGTCAGATGCACCTCAGTTCTCAAACTGACATCATTACCCCTCAACAATTTGGGGAGGTCGCTAACTGTATACTTTCCAAGTGCAGTATGTCTCCCGATATCATGACTGTTGATACCAAGGGTGTTAATAGTGGATCCAAGTAAGATTAAGTTGTTGACAGTTTGAATCTTTTCTCCATTTATCATGATGTTGCCTATGAGTCTGGTGGTAAGAATCTTTGTTTTCTTGACATTGAGATGTAATACATATTGAAGGCTGCATTCCTGGATCTTCTGCAACAAGTGCTTCAAGTCCTCACTTTCAGCAGCGAGGTTGTGTCATCTGCCTAACGCAGGTCATTGATGAGCCCCCTCCCATCCTGATCCACCCTCTTCCTCAGAGTCCCACTTCTCGGGTAGTAACTCATATAGTTATCTGCCCGTATGATCTCCTGCCTTTAAACCTCCACTGGAGGTTCAGGTATGGGTTCTGACTGGATGGTATACAAGGACCACATCAACAGTAGGTTAAACAGACCCCGCCCCTGCATTCCACAGTGAGGGCCCCTGAGCAGTGCAGAGCCGTCACAGATGGCACCATGGCTGCACAGAGTCCCCTCGTTACACGTATGCAAGGACTCTCCTTGACTGGGAAGCCAAGTAGTTGTGAAAGGATCAGTTGTAGTTATGTGCTGTTAAGTCAGAACTGACCTACAGGAGACGCTCCAGTGGGTTTTCAGAGGCAGTAAGCTGCACAGGAGAACGTCCATCTCTCAGCTGCAGAGCAGCTGGTGGATTCAAACCACATGGCTTCAGGTCGGCAGGGCAGCTCCTTACCACTAGGCCACCAGCATGAAATACCCCTGAATCCCATGACAGCCCCAATTGAATGTAATAATACCTCTGTAATACCTCACTAGAGATAAAAGGGGGGCAATGAACTGAGGGGTGGCAGGTCCAGGGACCCCCAAGACAACCAAGAAATAGTTCCTATGAGTGAATTGTGAATGCTTTTGGACCAGGACCTCTGCACACAGACTCTCCTTGACATCAGAGAACGAGACACGGAGATCTTCAGGGACCACTGGGCTATGAATGCCCTCCACAGCCGACAGAGAGGGCTGCCTTACCTGAGAGCCAGCAGTCTGAATTTGGACTTCTAACCTAAACTGTAAGAATGGATTCTCTGTTCCAGAGGCATGAGAGAATGGAGACATAAGGGAGCTCTGGTGGCCTAGTGGCAAGAATCTGCACTGCAATCCCAAAAGTGCATGGTTTAAATCCACCAGATGCTCTGCTGGAGAAGGAGGGGCAATCTCCTCTTGTTGGATTCAATTTGAAGGCACACACACACAAAATAATAAAATAATTTAAATAAAAGAGAGAGAATGGAGACAGAGACCTGTGCTCTGGGCTGTATGGGCTTCAGGATCCCCACGAAAGAAGACAGGGACCTGTCTGATTGCCAGTGGCCCCATAACAAGACATGGGCAGTGAGAGGAAGAGCTGAGGGCCCCTCTTCCAGGGAAAGCAGTGTGCAGCCATTCTCTCACCCCATCTATGAGGGAGGGTAGGCTGTGGACGTGAGTTTGCTAAAGAGATAGTGACAGGTGGAGTGGGGTGGGCTAAAGAAGAGACAGGACTCTGAACTTGACCTTGAAGCCACATAAATATTTTACAAATAAAATGAAACTTTTAAAAAGGATTGTTAAAAATCAAAAGAGACTGAAACAAAAGGACCACACACAGAGGAAGCACGCTCTGGGACTTGAATCAGCGAGCTGGCCTTAGTCCCCTAAAGCTGCACCCCATCATCACCCAGGACCACCTCAAGCTTGCTCTCATGTTCTGTTCTGTCTTCTATTTCATCATCTCTCCCATTCGTTTTAGCCACACACGTTCAGGAGCAAATGTCAGAGTCTTTCTAACACCTGTTTGATCTTTGTTCCCCCTTCCTTGTTTTTTGTTTTTAAATCTCCCCCTTTTCTTATCTTTTTTAAAGTTTTCCTCCTTTTCTTGTCTTTTCAATGAACTTTGATTTCCTCAAGTGTGATGCTTTGATGCCACTCTGTAACTTTTCTGACCTCAGACAGGATCTACTCAAGGTGATACCTTAACTTGTTTAACTTACTTCACCTTCAACTTGATCTTGCATATGAACAATGAATGGCCTGTTCCATAGTCAGTTCCTAGCCTTGTTTTGGCTGATGACATTGAACTTCTACATCACCTCTTTCTACTGATGCACTCTGTATGTTTCACCTGGGAGGTCTGACGGCCTCATGGATCACTGATGTTTATATTGTTGAGAATGGTGCTCTCCATGACAAAGCTGCTGGTCTTGAAAATTCTTCCATGTACCTATATCATATTCCAGCATAATTGGTATTCCCAAGCCCACATTTCAGCAGCCAATCTTTTTATTGTTTCCATTTTTTGCACTCCAGTTATCAGTAACTACTGATGAATTTTGATTATGTGTTCAATTTCAGACAGGCAGATTCATACAAATTGTTAATTTCTCCATTTTTGGCACTAGTGATTATTTTGTAAGTGTGAATAATAGTCATATTACCAAGTTTTCCTTGTCTGTCTATGGATATTATCCTATCAATGACAGTGTTATACTTCAGGATGTTGTTGTTGTTAAATGCTGCTGAGTCAAGCACGACTCATAGTGACCTTATGAACAAAAGATCTGAACCCTGTGCTATAATTACCATCATTTCTCTAATGTTCATAGACTTTCCAAGGGCATGTTATTTAGGAAGTGGATGTCAGTCCCGCTCCCAAGCCTCTTTTTGACAATGAGTGAGATTTCATCTTTCATTCTTGGCATAGTCGACCATGGTGTTCTTAGGTGCCATCAAGCTGGTAACCCACAGCGACTCTCTGAGCAGCAGATCTGGACCTGCCCTCCCCTCCGCCAACCTCACAGTCTCTGTCGGACTCAAGTCCACTGTGGTAGCCACTGTGTAGGTGCATCTTCCTGAGGGCCCTCCTCCCTTACACTGACTCCCTTCCCAGCACGCTGTCTCTCTCTGAGGACTGGTTCTCCCTGTGGAAGTGCGAAGCACATTCACAATCCTTGACTCTAAGAAGCATGATTTCAGTTTACCGTTTGAGTAGATTACATGATTATCAAGGACCTCTCTAGAGTGTTGGAGAGCTACTATGTTATTTTGGAGACTAAGATATGCCTGATCCAGGCCATGGTATTCTTTCTCAATGATTTGTTACATATCAGAGAGCTGGACCATGAATAAGGATGACAAAAGAACTGATGCCTTTGAGTTGTGATGCTGGAGAAGAGTATTAAACATACCATAGACTGCCAAGAAAACAAACTGGTCTGTCCTGGAGAGGGTGAAACTAGTTGTTCCTTGGAGGCAGGGATTATGAAACTCTGTCTTATATACTTTGGGCATGCAGCCAGGAGGGACCAGTCCTTGGAGAATTATTTCATGCTTGGAAGAGTGGAGAGACACTGTAGGAGAGAGAGTAAGACCCCAGAACAGAGAGACTGACACAATGACTGGGGAAATGGGATTAGGTCTGTTGGAAATGATGAGGTTGGTGTAGGATAGGACAGAGTTCTACTGTTCATAGGCTTGCTGTGAGTTGCAGTTGACTTGATGGCACATAACAGCAAAAATAACATAATTGTCTTACTCAAAATAGCTATTACAAAACAGTATTATAATGAAATATGCAAATACCCAAAGCCAGAGAACCCAAAGGGGAACACATTTGGCATTTCTCAATATGAAAGCACAGAAGGAAAACATTTCAGCTTCAGACTACAGTAATGAAGGGTTTTGTGGGCAAAATAGTGAATGACATTAAAAAGATGGAGATAACATATAAACTCATTGTACCAAAGAAGATGAGTGAAGAACTGATGCTACTGAAAGCAGTCCGATGCACCGAAATCATTAGAGAAGCAAGGTGCCAGGGGCTGAGGAGCTCTGCTGACACAATGTCTAATGGGGAGAGCTGGGCAGTGTCCTCCCATAAAGCCACTTGTCTTCAGGACCCAGTGGAGGGTCAGTATAGAGTGGAATCAGCTCAACAGCAGAGGGTGGGTTACATCAGGGACCGAGTAAGGTGCTTCAGCACACAGCTCAGACACTGTAAGCACTTACTCAACCACAGCAAACACACGGAATCCAGGACTCAGGCTGCCAGCCAGTAGTCTCGTGTTTGTGCCCCTTTCAAAGGAAGGCAATCCAACAGAATGTGGAAGCGTTATACAGATGATACAACCCTGCTTGCTGAAACTGAGGAGGACCTGAAGTGCTTGCTGTAGAGGGTCAAGGACTGCAGCCTTCAGAATGGATTGAGATTCCCACCACTGGGCTGACTGGCAGCATCACGATGGATGATAAAGAGACTGAAATTGTTGACAGCTTCAGCTTGCTTGGCTCCACAATCAACACTCTTCGTATTAGTCAAATTAAAAGATGAATTGCACTGGGAAAGTCTGCTGTCTGAGACCTTGCCAAGGTACTGAGGAACAACAATTTCAGTCTGGAGACTAAAGTGTGCCTGATACAGGCCATGGTCTTTGCTATGCATCAGAGAGCTGGACAATGACTAAGGATGACAGGAGGAGAGTTGATGCCTTCGAGCTGTGGTGCTAGAGAAGAGTATTGAATATACCATGAACTGTTAGGAGAACAAACAAGTTCATTCTGGAGAGGGTGAAGCCAGGCTGCTCCTTGGAGGCAAGGATTCTGAAGCTTTGCCTGACATACTTTGAGCATGTTGCAAGGCGGGACCCGTCACTGTGAGGGATTGTCATGCTTGGGAGGGTGGAGGAACAGCGCAGGAGAGGAAGACCCTCAATGAGATGGATTGATTCTGTCACTGGGTAATGGGGATGGAGGTGTTGGAGACAATAAGATTGGCAAGGAATAGAACAGGATTTAGGGCTGTTGTACATAGGGTTGCTACGAGTCGCAGGCAACTTGACAGTACATCACAACAACAACAACTGAACAATACAGCCAGGCCGTTACTGAACATGACATACAGGAAAGTTTTGCAAAAGATAAATTTAAAAATGGCTACAGCCGTACATCGACAGGGAACTGCCAGAAATTCGACTCAAATTCAAAGGAGAGAGTGGTATCAGTCACCGCTATTGTAAAACAAGCATCACTGAAATGTGTCTGCCTGTTTGATTGACTATGTCAACACATTCGACTAGATCATAACAAACTATAGATAACACTGAGAAGAACGAGAATTACAAAACACTATACTGTGCTTATGCAGAACCTTTACGTAGATCAAGAGGCGGCCACTCAGAACAGAAGGAGAAATAATGTGGTTTAAAGTCAGGTAGGATGTGTGTCAGGGTTGTGTTGTTACTACACTAACTCCATCTGTGAGTGGAAAATCCAAGAAGCCGAACTTGATGAAGAAAAACAACGGGATCGGAGGAAGACTCATCAAGAACATTTGATATGAAAGCGGCACGGCTCTGCCTGCTAACAAAGGAAAGAGCTTGAAGCACTGACAGATGAAAATCCAAGTCTGCACAACCCTCGGCATGGATGAATTTCAACATAAAACAGAAATCTGCACAGCTGGAACAACAAACAGGCCGACTGAAGTTGTGAAGGATTTCACTTCACGTGAGCCCACCACCCATGCCATGAAGCAGCAGCAGGAGATAACATGACATTTGGTGTTGGGAAAATCAGCTATAAAAGATCTCTTTAAGGTATTAAAAAGCAAAGATGCCACTCTGAGGACTCATGCGTCCTTGGCCTGAGCCAAGGTATTTTCAGTTGTTTTATTTGCATATGAAAGCAGAATAATGATTAAGAAAAAATTAAAAAATTGATGTATGTGAGTTACCATGTTGGCTAAAAATATTGCATATATCATGGCTGCCGGAAGAAGGGGTAAATGTGTCTGAGGAGCTGTGGGGCCAGTGTGCTCCTTACAGACGACAGGGATTCACTTTCACCTCTCATTCTTTGATCTCAGGACTGGACTGACCCTGGTAGAGGCCAGCATGTTTCATGAAGAGGATACGTCACGGAGAGGAAGAGCCGCCATGAGCTGGAGCAATGAGCTCCAGAGTCGGCACCAACACGGGACCCGCGAAGACGGGGACGATGGGATGAGACCAGGTGCGCTTTGGCCTGGTTTCACAGGAACCACCTTTGTGCATCTAATGACAACACTGGAGCCATCCCCCCTCCCAAGTCACATAGCTGCAAAAGTCAGCAGAAGCACGAGTTCTAACCATGGTGACAGCCCAGGCAGGGCCATCCTGAAGTTCTGGTGTGTGAGCTGCAAGGTAAGGTAGGTGGTGTGAGAGCTGACGTTTTTGACAGAAAGGGGCTTAACTGAAGTTAAGTGAAAAAAACTCTGCATATTAATGAATAATGTATGGCCTCTTTCTAAGTGTCTGCTTTAGCTCTGCCCACGACAAAGGTCTAGAAAGGCAAACAGTCCAGTGGCTCTAAGGACCCATATTGGTCTCCACACGCTGGGGACACCCCAGGCAGACACCGCAGACAGAGAGGCCAGACCTCTCCCATGTGAGGCAGAGGCGCTGGTCCAGGCTCCATGCGTCAGGCTGAGCCTGGATTGCTCGCTCTGTGAATGTCCGAAGGCCTCATTAGGAGCAGTCAGGAGGGCCAGTAAAGAAAGACCATGACAACAGAGCTCTGCTGAGAGGTCAGTCAGGGGGAGGTGGCCTCCAGATGCTGGACAAGGCATGGAACAGCTGTCCTCAGGAGACCTGGGAGGACTCACTCTGGACTGTATTCAGAACCATTTGACAAGAAATCTGTTGTGTTGGCCCTGCACCTTTTAGGATTATGGGGCAGCAGCAGGATGAGGCCTGGTCCAGCTTGCTGCCCCATTTCCTCAACCCTCTGTACAGCTCACTTGCACACAATGACTGTAGGGGAGGCCCACTGACCGCCCCAGGCTGGGATCTCACCACCACACTTACCTCAGCCGCCCTGCGGTGGTCATCACCTGTGCCCAGCACACGCACGTCCACGCCCAGACAGCGCAGGCCTCGGGCCAGCCCTTGCAGCATGTTGTCACACACCACGCGAAAGTCCCTGGCCAGGACCTTGGGAGCCGTTTTCTTGTCCACTGCAGCAGGCACCTGCAAACAGCCTGCCCTTCACTCATCGGTGACCAGGCCTCCAGGTGACCATGGCTGGCCAGCAGGTAGCAGGGCCCCGCTTATTGATGACCCTCTCTGGAAGCAATGGGCAAGCAGAGCTGCACGCCTACCCCACCCATCCCTGATGGTCCCCCAAGGCCTGCACCCACCTGTGGGGGTGGGGCCAGGGCCTCTGGCTGGCCAGAAGGCCTCTGGACCCCTGATCTCATGCTGCCCCTGGCCCCCAGGCTCTTGGCCAGGTTCTCAGACAGGCGAAAGCGGGCAGGGTCTCGGCACAGCGCCCTGTACACCTCCAGCAGGCAGTAGGCATCTGTGGCTGGGGGCAGGGGTCTGCCTCAGCCTCCTTGAAAGGCAAACGGCAGGGGACCCCTGGGCAGGGGCTGGAGGGAGGGCAGTCAGCCCACCAGGGGAGCACTCCAGCTGTCCCAACAAGCGTACCTGCGTAGATCAGCTGCTGCTCTCTCAGTGGCCGCAGATCCCAGTTGGAGAGCTGCTGGGTCTTGTCCAGGGGCTGGCCCAGCACTTGCTGTACTAGGAGGCTCAGGCCCCGCGGTGCTCTTGCTGAGCCCTTGCAGGGGCTACCTGTGTCTGCCCGCATCTGCCAAGACAGTGCCTCGACACTTGATGCTCTTGGCCCAGAGAAGAGAGGCTGCCCGCTGCCTGACATCCTGATGCTGGACAACTCGCTCCTGGTCTCTCCAGGCTCCACCCACTCCTAACCTGGCGCCCGGCCAATCACACAGCTGGTCACCTCAAGAGCCCCCACCCAGGCCCCCTTCCCAATGCTCTGACTCGCCTCTGCTAAGCCCCCGACTTCCCTCCCGATGGTCTTTCGACATCCTTATACCCTTTTGCCCACTGCATCCCTCTGACTTCTTCCAACACCCTCACTCCCACTCTTATCACCAGACTTGGTGCCCCTCCTCTCCTGAGGATCCACACATGCCCCTTCCTGCCTTTCCTCCACCACCTTCCTAGTGCTGCCAGAGACCCCCTCTCTGCCTGCCCCCACGCCCTGCCCACTACAGATGGACTCTGTCCCGCACCCCAGCCCCTAAAGCAGGCCCCGCCCCCTCTAGCTGGGGCCCACCCCCAGCTACCTCACCCCCCCACCCCGTACCTCAATGTCCCCCCATGGGCCCTGCCCACCCCACACCATGCCCCCGCGCCACCCCTCCACCTCCACCTCCACCCTAACTCCTGCTCGTCCCTCCACACCCCCTTCCTCCGAGCTCTGTCCTTCTACGAGCCGCCCTCACACCCCCACCGTCCCACTGACCCGCTGGTGCACTAGCTGGAGGTCCAGGACACCGCGCACTGCCTTGTCCGCATCCGCGAGGGCCGGGCACACAGCTCCCAGGCTCCGCAAGTCCCCTTCCAGTCCATAACCTGTGGACCCCAATGGAGGTGAGGGGCGTGGCTCTCCTGCCCTTGCCCCAGGGCGCACCCAGCACCCTCCGCTTCCCCCAGAGGCAGGCTCACCTAACTTGGTGATGGAGGGGTCTGAGAAGAGCCGGCTCAGGAGCTGCCACAGGGCCTGTTCCCCCTGTCCCCCAGGGGGCTGTGAGAGGCTATGCAGGTCCAGCAGTAACACTCGGCCCTCCAATGCCAACTGCACCAGGGAGGGGCTGGGCCGGGCTGCGCCCTGGAACAGGGGCTTCCACTCCAAGTCCACGCCGACTACGGCACCCGGCTGCGGGCACAGAGTGTGTGTGAGCAGGCACTCTCCCCAGGTCCACCACCACTGCCCACAGACTGCAGGAAGGAGCTACCCTGGGTGCCCCACCCCCGGGGCCGTGGATGCTGAGGGAGGTGTGAGGGGGTGGGCTGCCAGGGGCTCGCCTGCAGGATCTCAGGCTCATGTCTGGTGACGTCCTCCCACGTGGCCAGGAAGTAGATGTCTTCCCTGGTGATAGGCGGCTGGTAGTAATGGCTCCTGTGCTTGCCACGGGGCTCCGTGGGCTTCCCACCAGGCTGGGGCTCCCTAGGGGGGCAGAGATCAGCCACACCAACCAGTGATGGCCACGTGCCCTACAGCACCCACCACACCACCCTGTAACGCCCTCTGCCCTTGAGCACCTAGGGCTCACGCATCCAGGGTGCTCACCTCTCCCGAAGTCTGCTCAGCTCAGTGGCCACCGCGGCTGGCAGCAGTCCCTCAGGCAGTGATAGGTCCTGGGCACACTGGGCAGTCACTGCCACACTGCAGTGTGAGGTCAGCAGCTGGAGCAGCTGGCTTTGCAACCACTCGCTCTGCCCCACAAGGTCCTAGGAAGAGTGAGTGGTCAGCAGGGCCAGACAGGGATGCCCACCTTCGCCTGCCCTGAGGGTTGTGTGGAAAATCCATGGAGGGCCTAAGATAACTCTCGACTTCACAGACCGCCTGACTTCTCCAGACCCAGGCCAAGCCCTCTGAGGGTGCTTCTGTCCTGAGTTCAGCTGTCATTTGACTGACTAGTCCTCTCAGAGGCTGGCTGGGCCACACCGGCTTTTGCTGCCTTACTTGCCTGGTCCTACCTTCTCCTAACCTACATCTAACCTGCACTTCTTGGGGTCTCCTATCTCTGCAGTCTGAACCACTCTGAGAATGTCCCCTGCCCTCTAGCCAGGACATTGCCGCTCCCTCCATGGACTCTGAGACCGCCTCCCCACACCCACTTCCATGGACCCTGAGAACCCTCCCCACGCCCCCCTCTGTGGACCCTGAGAACCCTCCCCACGCCCCCCTCTGTGGACCCTGAGAACCCTCCCCACGCCCCCCTCTGTGGACTCGCTCCCCTTCTACAGGGCTCTGCTCAGGCTGACTTCCATGCTGAGGGTACCCAGCACTCTTGTCCTCAGTGTGAACAGAGACTGTTCTCAGTGACCCCAAGTGACCTTAGGAGAACACATGGCTGTTTGCTTGGGTCCCCAGCCACCCAGCTCAGATCCCGGCCTGCTGTGCAAGGTCACAGGTCAGACCACTGGTGCAGGATGTGAGGAGTCTCTGCCCCCCAGAGCCCTTGCTGCCTGGCAGCCTATACACCACTGCAGCCCCAGCAGCCTCCCTGCTGCCTGCCCTGTGGCGGGAGGTTCCCACGTGGACAATACGTGGAAACTGCTCTGCATTCTTCAGGATGTCCGCTGCCCTTCCGCTTCTCGGCCTTGGCACCCAGGGAGAAGGCCTTTCCGGGCCCTGGCTGGAAAAGGGGCTGTTTCTCTCTGGTGACTCGTGTCCTTGTTATCCCTGGGGGTGGGGATGGCTGGACACCATTTGGGGCCAGTCAGGTCCAAGGACTCTGATGCTTTGCTCTCCTCCCCAAGAGGGAGGCTCAAGCTAATTCCACTGACCACTGCATAGTCCTCAGGGACATTCAGGGTTACTGGGCTCCTAGATGAGGGCCAAAGGACAACTCTGTCCCCACAGATAACACTACCTCTCATTCAGGCTTCAACAGAGAGGTGCAGTCCCCCAGGCTCTTGTCCAGTCTCCTATCCCAGGGAGGGACTCTGATGTCCATACACTGGGGTCTATCATCCAGGGGGTCACCTGCTTCGTTTTGACAGGGCCAAACCGGAGGCAGGCAGGCAGGCACTCACTGCCTCTAGGCTGAAGGACTTTGTGGTCCCGGTCACCCCCCAGTCTGTCCTCAAGCAGCATGTGGCTGCTGTCCTTTCAAAGTTCACTCTGGGCGATTTCTGCTCCAGGGAGGAAAGTGGACATGGAATCTGGAAGGGCTCCTGCTACCTCCCTGGCCCTGTCCTTCCTTCCCCTTCAAACAAGGTAGCCATGCAGTCAAGGGTCTCCAGGACCCCTGAGCCACTGACCACATGGTCTGCTGAGCCTCATGATGGTTTCACTACCTCAAGGAAGGGGCCGGAATGGATGGCCACCAGGTCACCAAGGGCACTCAGAGTAGGGCTGAAACTCGGGAACAGCACTGACCAGATCACTGGACACACCACAGGAGCCCAAGGACCCCTCCTCACTGCGCTGCATTTCTGTGTAAAGCCCAGCAAGGTACCTGGAACTCAAGGGCCTTCATATTTGCTCAAGTGCCTTCTGTTGCCCAGGCAGCACAGTGTCCCCTTTACCTCCAGGGCTCATGTAAAGCAAAGCTGGAGGCTTTTCCCTGGGAGAGTGGAGGAGTGCCTCTCACTTTTCACATGAATTTGCTCTGACTCATGTCCACCTGTCACAGTATACATGTACACACAAACACAAACAGGCAGTGTTCACACACCCACCGTGTACATGCACATACGCACACACACTCACATTCTGACTGTCTGTACACACATACTGTGATGGTTATGTGTAAACCTGGCTAGGATACAATTCTCAGTGGTGGGGCCAAATACTAGAGAGATTGCTGTTCTGATGTGATGGGGCAGTGATGGGACAGGATGAGGTGATGGTGGTGAGGGAAGAGGATGTGATGAGGGTGGTGAAAAGATGGGATACAATGAGGTATTAAGGTGATGATGGAATATTGATGGTGATGATGCAATAGTTGATAGGACGATGATGGTTTTTTAATCAGGTGATGTGGTGAAGTGATGGTGGATGAAATGATGGTTGAGGGGATGGGTTCACGGGAAGGGATGAATGAGATGAGTTGTTTATGGGATAGGAAAATGGGATACTTTGATAGGACAAGTTAACGGGACAGGATGATGTTGATTTTGTTTGGAGGACGGATGATGGCATGGGGTGATAATGACGGCATGAGATGGTGGGTTGGGATAATGAAATGAGTTGTTGGCATGTGATGGTGAGTTGGATTAAAAGGATGGAGTGGTGAGATGATTTGATTGGACAAGTTTTGAGGATGATGGGAAAGGAAGATGATTTCTGGATGCTGATGGTGACGTCCTGCTTTGACTTTCTAACATGTGATCTGATGTGACACCTTTGGAGTATGGTCTCCAGAAAAGAAACACGTTTTGGCAGTGGTCACTTTCTCCCTTTCCATCCTGCACTCCTGGTCACCTGACTGACCTCCAGTTCCTGAAGAACTCTCTGGCCTGCTGACCTGGAGTATTGGGTTTGCCAGACCCCTGTAATCCTGTCAACCAGAAGAGGTCTCCAGACACTGCCTCCACTGGACACGTCCTCCACTGGACACTGCCTCACTGTGGAACTAGGCTTTGTCATGCCCCACAATTTTGTGAGCCACTCTCTTGAAGTTCATATGCAGAAAAGTGTGTGTGTGTGTGTGTGTGTGTGTGTGTAGTACACACACATACATACACAGATCAGTCCTTGGAGAGGGACATCATGCTAGGAATGGTGGAGGGACAAAGAAAGAGAGGAAGGCCCTCAATGAGATGGACTGATACAGTGACTGGGGTAGTGGGGGTAGGAGTGTTAGAGACAATGGAGTTGGCCCAGGATAGAGCAGGTTTCAGGGCCATTGCACACAGGGTCACTATGAGTCACAAGCGACTCGACAGCACATAACAACAACAACACATACACCTCTCAGTAAGTCGGCTTCTCTGGAGAGTTCAGCAAAGAGACACAAGTCACCACCTCCTCACTCTCACTTACACAAACGCATGGCCTCCCCCACGACACAGGTCTCAGGCAGGTCTCTGAGGGTGTTGTGGACAGCCAGGTCATTGGACTCACCTGCACATGATCAGCCCAGTTCTCTTGAGACAAGGTTCTCTGCAAGGGTAAAAAAAGGGGACAATTCAAGGGCTGTCCCTTTCTCCCCCACTGGCCTGCAGGACACAGCTCAGGGTACCAACGGGCCCAGCTCCCGCCTCGAGCTGCATAAGCACATACACACCCTTTCTAGCCTAGGTCCCACACCTGCACACACCTGCACAGACCTCCACAAACCGTTTGTAGCACAGGTACCGCAGAGTTCCCAAGCGTTGCTGGTTGATGACATTGGGGCACAAGGCTGTAAGAGAGGGCAGGACTCAGGCCATGGACACTATGCCGCTGAGTGTCATGCCTGATCCATCTCTGCTGCTTCCTAGAAGTCTGGAGCTGGAGAGGTAGGTGAGCAGGAAGGGCGAGGGGCCTTGGAAGGAGCCTTGTTCCGGCCCAGCCTTGTACACTTCAAAGTGTTAGGCCCCCCCAGGAGCAGATCTCCCCAGGGGGTGTTGGTGCCAGTTTCCTGGGGAGGATTAGCTCCCTGGGGGATGGTGTGTGGGCTTCCTGGGGGGAGGATCAGCTCCTGGGGGTATCAGCTTCCTGAGGAGGGTCTTACGTAGAGTCCTGCCTCCCTTAGGGGTGTCATCTCCCCAAGGGTCTCAGCTGTCTTCGGGTCCCACTTCCCTGGAAGTGTCACCTCTCTGTGGTCTCACAGAGCCACCTACACTGCCCAAGGACCCCACTTGAACATCCCAGGCTGGTCCTGCCGGTGGCTGTATACATCTCGTGGGCTTTCCCACTGTTGTCTACCAGCAGGGCTTCCGGCTATTGTGCTGTGCTGGCCCCGAGCCAGCTTCCTGACTGTCCCTGCAGCAGTGTTGTTCCTAGAGCAGGGACCCAGCGGCCAGCCCAGTCTTTCCTGGTAGCCATAATGCTTTCTGTGACTCTGCTTCCAGATCTTGCTGAAGAGCCAGGGGACAGTGACCTACTGCCTAAGCTGCTCCAGTCCCGGCCTCCCTGCAGCCCCCAGGCCTGTCAGGATGACCATCTCCAGTGGGCTTGGCCACCCTGGGAGCCACATGGCCCCTGCACATCTGGCAGTGTTGTCCAATCAGCACCCCACTTCCGACAGCCTCTCCTGGGCCCCGGGCAGGGCAGGTAGCCAGGGACAAGCTGGAGTTTAGCGGCCACGAGGGATTGAGCTACAGGAGTGACCAGGGCTCCCCAGATGGAAAGGGTATGTGCCCTCCCCTGAGGCCATCCCCCAACACCAAGCTGTCCCCTGACACGGGACTGCTCTGGACCAAAGTTCAGACCACGTCATCTGAGGAAGGAATGGAGACAGGGGCTTGGGCAGGGGCTAGAGCTGGACCGGGAAGCTGGCACTTGAAGCAGCGTTTGCTCTGACCTCATGTGACAGTTTTGCATGGCCTGCAGTTTTGCTACCAAGACTGATGCCCCTTATGGTGAGCTCTGGTGGCCTAGTGGCAAGAAAGGTGTACTGCAATCCCAGAGGTGCATGGTTCAAATCCACCAGATGCTCTGCTGGAGAAGGAGGAACAATCTCCTCCTGTACCAGTCAGATCTGATTTGACAGTACACACACACACACACACACACACACACACACACACACTCTCTCACACGAAATAAAAAAAAAAAAGACTGATGTCCTGACCACCAGATCCTGTGCTTCAGGGATGGGGGCCCATGGACTGCCCCACCTGGACTGGGACCACTCATATGACCCTCAGGTCTGGGAAGGACACAGAGGAGGGACGTGGGCTGGTGGTCATGCGTGGGGTGACTGTGAGCCGGAACCACTGGAGGACAACTGGCACCACAAAGTGGGATGACGAGACCCCCACGCCCACGCCTGGACTGTGTCTGGTCCTGATAGCACACAGAGGAGAAGGGAGGGAGGAGGAGGAGGCGAGAGAGTGTAGACAACTGCTCGCTGGACAGAGACCCCTGGGCGGGATACGCTGGAAGGCCACAGCCGCTCTGCGAGAGGAAGACTGGTAACCACCGCTCACGACGGTGCACATCTCAGGAGCACAGTGGAGGCTTCAATGCAACAGCAACAGGTTACTACAACTGATGGAGAGTTAAGCAGAGACCTGGCACCAACAGACAGTAATCACGAGAACCAAGATCGAGAAAGCAGGACTGAGATATAAACAGCATTTTCAAATAACAGAAAATTTAAGATGGAAACAAAAATCTAGCAGAAGATGCCTAAGTACTCTGTAGAAAAAACCCAAACCAAAACAACACCACGGTTTTATGGAGATCATAAAGGCGGCCCAAATAAACAGAGGGGGTGTGGTGGGGAGGAGCGGAGGCTTCGAGCCAAAGGCCAATCCAGCAGCTGCTCTAAGGGAGAAAGACGGCAGTCTCCTCACATGTGATTTACAGTCTCTGAAAGCTGGCAGGGCTTTCCATCTATGAGTGGGCTTCAATTTGCTGGCAATGGGAGGGAGAGAGAAAGAAGGCAGCATTTCACAGACTGTTGTTGTTAGGTACCACAGAGTCAACTATACCTCACAGCAACCCTACAAACAACAGATCAAAGTTCTGCCCCCTCCTGTGCCATCCTCGTCACCTCTGACACACTTGAACCCACTGGTATAGTCACTGTGTCCATCTATCTTGTTGAGGGTCTTCCTCTCTTTCGCTGACCCTCCTCCACCTTCCAAGGATGACTTCCTTTTCCAAGGACTGACCCCTCCTAACAATATGACCGAACTATTTGAGATGAAGCTTCACGATCCTTGCTTCCAAGTTGTTATATGCCATCGAGTCACCTGCAAGTCACAGCGACCCCGTGTACAACAGCCCTAAACCCTGGTCTGTCTTGTGCTAATCTCACTGTCTCTGACACACCTACCCCTGTTTCCCCAGTCACTGAATCAATCCATCTAATTGAGGGTCTTCCTCTCCTACGCTGTCCCTCCACCCTCCCAAGCATGATGTCCCTCTCCAAGGACTGGTCCTTCCTTGGCAATATGTCCAAAGCAAGTCAGATGAATCTTCAGAATCATTGCCTCCAAGGAGCAGCCCAGTTTAACCGTCTCCAGGATGAACCTGTTCATTTTCTTTGCAGCCCCATGGTATATTCAATACTTTTCTCCAACACCATAGTTCAAAGGCATCAATTCTCCTTCTATCCTCCCTAGTCATTGTCTAGCTCTCTGACACATAGCAAGTGATTGCAAAGACCACGATGGCCTGTATCAGAACACACCTGAGTCTCCAGAGAGACACCATTGCTCTTCAGTACTTTGAAGAGGTCTCTAACAGCAGACTTTCCCATTGCAATATGTCTTTTAATTTCCTGGCTGCTGGTGCCAAGGGTCTTGACTGTGGAGCCAAGCAAACTAAAGCTGTTAAGAATCTCAATCTCTTCACCATCCATCCTGATGCTGCCAATTGGTCTGGTGGTAAGAATCTTTGTCTTCTTGACATTGAGCTTCAATTGATTTTGGAGGCTGCAGTCATTGACCTTCTGCAGCAAGCGCTTTAGGTCCGCCTCAGTTTCAGCAAGCAGGGTTGTGTCATCTGCATGACGCAGATTATTGGATAGATCTTCCACCAATCCTGATGCCACACTTCTCCTCATAGAGCCCAGCCTCCCGGATAATCTGTTCTGCATACAGGTTGAAAAGGTATTGAGATAGGACACATCCCTCGCGTACACCCTTCCCAATTTTGAACCATATAGCATTTCCTTGCTCTGTTCTGACGACTGCCTCCTGGTCCAAGTATAGGCTTCGCATTAGTGCAATCAAGTGTTCTGGGATTCCCATTCTTCTCAGGGTTGTTGTGATGCACACAGTCATACGCCTTTGCATAGTCAATGAAAGAAAGATGGACACGGACATTCCTCTGATCCTCCCTGTTTTTCTCCAGTACAGGCTTGTAGTTTCCCGGCAGTCCATGGCACGTTCAGTCCTCTTCTCACAGCTCAGAGGCCTTGGTTCTGCCATCCTTATTCACTGCCCAACTTAGAGACAGATGGTAAGTGACTGACAACATTATGGCTTAGGTGAGGTACACTTTCACCTTTAAACTGACATCATCGCTTTTTAGTGCTTCAGAGAGGCCCCTGGCAGCTTATTTACTCAATGCAGTACATCTTTTGATTTCTTGATTGCTGGTACAACAGGTGTAGATTGTGGATCCAGGCAAGATGACATAGTTGACAACTTCAGTCTTTTCTCCATCTGTCATGATGTTATCTATCAGTCCAGTGCTGAGGGTTTGGGTCTTGTTGCGTTGAACCCAAAGAGAAGGCTGCAGTCTGATCTTCTTCAGCAAGTGCTCATTTTAGCAAGGTTGTGCCACCTGCGTAATGTAGGTTGTTGATGAGTTTTCCTCCAATCCTGATGCCACATTCTTCTTCACAAAGTCCAGCTTCTTGAATGACTGCTCAGCACGCAAGTTGACTAGGTATGGAGAAAGGCTCTTGCCTTGACGCCCACCTTTCCTGATGTGCATCGTGGTTTAAACCATGCAGCGTTCCCTTGTGCCATTTGGACAGTTCCTTTTTGGCCAATGTACTGAAGCCACATAACAAAGCGGCATGCTGCTGCTGCTGTGTACCGTCAAGTGAGACATGACTCACCCTCCGGCGGGTTTTCAGAGGCTGTAAATCTCATGGGAAGAAACTGCTCATCCTTTTGCTGTGGAGCAGCTGGTGGATTTGAACCGGCTTCCCTTGGGACTCCAGTGCAGCTTTTAACCACGAGGCATCCGAGCTCCCACACAGATGCATACTCCTCCCCCACTCAGAGTGACCCCAAAGATTCCAGTAGCTTTTTTGCCTAGAGAAGTTAACCATTGGGTTCTAATCCTCATGGAGATATCCAAAGGGCCCCGAGCTGCCGAGACAGGCCTCCTAGCGTCTGAGGAGAGCAAGGAGCTCAGCGGCTGACCGCAGGATCCATCCTGGGCTGGCGCACACATGAGGTGGACCTGTGGCAAGACTGTGGTCTCACACTGGTACAGGAAGGGCCAGCAGCCACCAGAGAGGTCAGGAATAGACCTCAAGTTGGGGAGAGGAAGGACAGATGCATGAGGGAGCAAGAAGGGGTCCTGGAATCACGCCTTGACTCCCATCACCAACACTCATGCCCCCATGCCCCCTCCATCCCACACCTCCACATCTCCCAACATACACATGCCCCCAACTCATCCACATAAAACCTCCCAAACACACATCTCTCCTTCCTCCACATGCCCCATCCCTCAACAAACACAAACCCCTACCCCACCCCTGCATCCCCAACACAAACATCTCCCCACAACCCCCTGCATCCCCACATGTCCACATTCCCCAACACACTCAACCCCCATTCTCCCACATTCCCACATCCCCAAACACGCAACTCCCTCATCACCCCCTGCATCTCCCCACCTCACTCCATCCCTCAACAAACACACACATGCCCAGCCCCTGACATCCTCACACACAATCATACTCCCCAGCATCCCTACACCCTCACCTCACACTCCCAGCAAACACTTAACACCCATACATGCTTACCCTCGGCCCTAACCGCACACCCTCACACCTACATACCCACACTCCCACCAAACAGAAACACATTCATCATTTTCCTTCCCCCGTGCCCCACACACCCTCACGCCCCAATTAACACAATAATGTCCATCCCAACCCCCCTCACTCCTCACCCCAAACACACATGCCCACCCTGTCCTCACCTCGCCCCTCAACAAACACACACGCCCACCCCATCCCCACCCCCACCCCTCAACAAACACACATGCCCACCACCCTAACAAATATACATGCGTCCACCCGTACACGTCGATTCCACCTCTTGGCGACGGGCAGGGCAGGAGGGCTGGGTCCGGCTCACCTGAGTCCATGTTGTACCTCTCCAGGAGACGCAGCACCTGTCTGCACACCAGCTTCGGACGCAGCAAGTCCTGCCTGACCGAGGTCATCTGGGGGAACTTCCTGTGTGAGAGAAAGCCTGCTGCCTTCTTCTTTCAGGTAATGGCTTTTTCTTATAGTGTTAAAATATCTCCAATAGTTTCCACTTTGATTGGCTCAGCAACATTGACTGCACTCCCCAGGCTCCACCACCACTGCCTTCTCTCATCTCATTAGCAGAAGGTCCATGCATCTAGTGCGTCCAGTCCAAGTCGACCTGGCCCAGCCCTGATCACCAATGACTTCTGAATCATAGGGCTGCCTGCACTGGATGCATCGTATAAGGCACCAGACAACATTTAACTTTGTGTTGGAGTTATTTTCATCAGCATAATAGTTTCAAGATTCATTCATATGTATCTCACATCATCTTCTTTAAAGCTGGATAATGCACACGCCAGAGTTTATGGACCCATCAAGTGCTGATGGACAAAAGGTGGTTTCCACCTCTTGACTATTGTGAATAATGCTGCAATACCTGAGTATACAAGGATCTGTGTGCATCCATGCTTTAAATTGTTTTGAGTACCTAGGGGCAGAATCCCATTCCCAAAAAATGTGATCCAGAATGTGGTGATTACTGAACTGTATCACTAATTGTTGTTATGTGCCATCGAATCACTTGCGACTCACAGCGACCCTATGTACAACAGCCCTAAGCTCTGCTCTATCCTGTGCCAATCGCATTGCCTCTGACACACCCACCCCCGTTACCCCAGTCACCGAATCAATCCACCTCATAGAGGGCCTTCCCCTCCTGCGCTGTCCCTCCACCCTACCAAGCATGATGTCCCTCTCCAAGGACCGGTCTCCCCTTACAACATGTCCAAAGTATGTTAGACGAAGCCCCAGAATCCTTGCCTCCAGGGAGCCGCCCGGTTTAACCCTTTCCAGGATGAATCTGTTTGTTTTCCTAGCAGTCCATGGTACCCTCAATACTTTTCTCCAGCACCACAGCTCAAAGTCACATGCAAATAACACCTTGCTGAAAATCAGTAAAAAGTGGTTAGAACACTGACAGGATTGTCAAAATTCAGGCTGGGCCGTGGCCCCAGGAATATCATTGCTGATATCAGATGCATCCTGGCTGAGAGCATCCAGAAAAATGTCTACTTGTGCTTTATTGACTATTCAAAAGCATTTGACTGTGTGGATCATAACAAATTATAGCTAACATTAAGAATACTTAATTGGGCTCATGTGAAACCTTTGTTGCTGTTGTTGTTATGTGCCGTCAAGTTGCTTGTGACTCATAGCGACCCTATGTACAACAGCCCTAAACCCTGCTCTATCGCACTGCCTCTGACACACCCATCCCGATTATCCCAGTCACTGACTCAATCCACCTTATCCAACCAGAGAAAGGGATGCATGGCTCAAAATAAAGAAATGTGTGCACTGGGGCTGCTTCCTTGCTCCATGTGTAGTCAGTCTGCATGATGAGCAAATTATTCAAGAAGGTAGACTTTAAATAATACATACCACGGGAGAGGCTAGAGAGCACTAAGCGTGTGAACAAACTCAGTCTCATAAGGACAAATACTGCATCATTATTGTAAAAGCAGAAGGAAATGAAAAGATGTGTTGCATTGGGGTAATTAGCTGTCAAGGTCCTCTCCAAAGTGCTAAAGAGCAAGGATGTTAGTTTGAAGACTAAGGTGCATCTAATTTAGGCTATGGTCTTTTCAATTAACTTGCCATGTAAGCAGGACAGTGACTAAGGGTGATGGAAGAAGAATCAGTGTCTGAGCTGCGGTGCTGAAGCAGCTTCCTGGGCCTCTCATGGACTGGGGACGTACAACCAGGGCGCTCCTTACAGGAAAGACAGTGAAATACGGTCTCATATACTTGGGACATGTTGTTAGGAGGGAAAGGGTCATGTCCTTGGCAAGAGGCATCATCAGTGAAAGATACTCGACACGATGGACAGATGCAGTGATTGTAACCCTGGGCTCCAGAGTATCAGCGATGAGGACGGCACAGGCCAGGGCAAGGTTCAGATCCATTGTTCGTAGGGTTGCTAAGAGATGCAGTCAACTTGATGGGCCTAACAACAACAGCAACATAGTAAATCTATGTTCAATTTTTTTAAGAACCACTAAATTGTTTTCTACAGCAAATGCATAATTTCACAATCTATCCAACATTTAGTGAGGGCTCCGCTTTCTCCACATCCTCACCAATTGTTTTTCCCCTTTACCTATAACGAATTCTCCACAATTGCTAGGCACTATCAGTCAGTTCTGACTCAGAGACGCCATATACAAACAGAAAGGAATTCGGCTGTGTTTGAGCCCACAGTGCCAATCAATCTAACTTGGTCAAGGCCTTCCTTCTTTTTAATGTTTACTCTCTACCGAGCATGACAACTTGCAAAAATCGGTCCTTCCTGATAACATGTGCTAAATAGAGGACATGAAGTCCCACCTCCTCTCTTCTTTTTTTTTTTTTTTTGTATTTCTTTTCTCTCTTCTAAAGGGCATTCTGGCTCTGCTTTTTCCAGGACAGATTTGTCTGTTCTAGTAGTCAGTGGCATATTTATTATTTTCTGTCCACACCATAATTCTAAGGCATTAATACTTTTTTTGTCTCCTGTATTCAACGCCCAGCTTCCACATGCATTTGCGGCACCTGGAAATAGAATGGCTTGGGCCACGTTACAGCTTAATCTTCAGTGATATTTTTTGCTTTTAAACATGTTAGTTTCCTCACCCCTCAGCAGATTTGCCCAAGGTAGCATGTTGTTTGCTGATGTTTCTGAGGGTGTTGCACTGACAGCTCTAATGAAAACTGTCAATTTGTTCTGAATTTACCATGATATTGCTTATCAGACCAGTTGCAAAGATTTCCATCTCCTGACAAGGTGTAATTCATACTGACAGTACTGACGGTGGCAGTCTTTGACCTTAGTCAGTAAGCACTTCAGGTTCTCAGTCACTTTCAGCAGGCAAAACTGTGTTATCTACACAGAGACTGGAGCCTTTCTCCAACTCCGATGCCATCTTCTTCACAGAGCCCACATTCTTGGATTTGCTCAGCATTTAGAATGGTAAAAATACAACCTGGATGCCAATCTTTCCTGATTTCATTTCCTGGTTCTATTCTATGACTGCCTTTTAGTCTAGGCACAGGATCTACATGAACACAATGAAGTGTTCTTGAATTCCAATTCTTCACAAAGTTATACCTTCAGGGAATTGTGAGAAGTTCAAGTGGGATTTAGAAGAGGCCGTGCACTAGGGATATACCATTGCTGATGTCAGATGGATCTTGGATGAAAGTAAAGAATACCAGAAGAATGTCTATTTGTGTTTTATTGACTGAGCAAAGGCATTTGACTGTGTACATTATAACAAATTATGGCTAACATTGAGAAGAATGGGAATCCCAGGACACTTAACTGTGTTCATGTGAAACTTACACCTAAGCCAAAAAATTTTTTTACCAACAGAGCAAAGGAACACATCGTGGTTTAAAATTAAGAATGGTATGCACCAGAGTTGGAGTCTTTCACCATACCTATTTAATTGGTACACTGAGCAAATTATTTGAGAAGCTGGAATCTATGAAGAAGAATGTGGCATCAAGAATTAGAAGACTCATCAATAACCTTAGTAGGCAGATGACAACGTTGCCTGCTGAAAGCGAGGAGGATTTCAAATGCTTACTGCAGAAGATCAAACACTACAGTCTTCAATATGGACTGAATCTCAGCGTCAAGAAAACAAAAATTCTCACCACTGGACTGATAGGTGACATCATGATTGATGGAGAAAATACTGGAACTGTAAATGAAGGATTTCATGTTACTTGGATCCACAATCAATACATTTCATACTAGCAGTTAGGAGATCAAGAGACTGTGAAAGTCTGTAGTCAGAGAGACCTTTACAAATTACTGAGGAGCAATGATGTTAGCCTGAGGACTAAGGGGCACCTGATTCAGACCAAGGTCTTTTCAAATGCTTGCTATGCTCCTGAGGGCTAGACAATGAATAGTTATGACAGAAGAAGAACTGATGTCATGGAACTGTGGTGCTGGAGAAGAAAACTGAACATGGACTGCCAAAAACAACACGTGTGTCTTAGAGAAAGTGCAGCCAGAACAAACGCTCCAGGAAGGCAAGGATGGTGAAGCGCCATCTTGTGTACTTTGGGCATGTTCCTAGGAGACAGTATTCCTCAGAAAGGGATACCACGCTTGGTGCATGTGCTTGAGTGTGCCAGAGATCGAGAGGCTGCTCAGGACAGGACAGGACAGGACAGGGTACAGAGCTGTTGTTCACAGAGTCGCTGTGGGTCGAACTCAGCCTGAGGGCACCTAACTCATCACACACCTGAGCGAATTTATGTGTTCAAATGAACACCTTCCCACTGTTCACCACTCCCAGTCAAGACGGAGCCATCAGCAATGGCAGCCTCACTGAACGTCTTCTGAATGCGGCTTGAATTTCTGGAGGTCTCCCGGTGACATACTGCCACAGCTGTTTTCTACTCACCTGGTAACATCTCTGAGGTTGAAACCGGGCTGACACCAGGAGTCCATAAGGACCAGCAGCCGCCTCTGCAGGTCCGGAAAGTCCTCCACATAGCGCTCAACCAGGTTCATTTTGTTCTGGAGCAGCAGCGGGACGCTCATCTGGAGGCACACGGGCGGGACATGAGAGCCTGGACCCCAGTCCCTCCACCAACCTGAGCAGCAGGCAGGCAGAGCACCAGAGCAGAGCTGGCTGGGGGCCTCTGCTTGCAAGTCTGAGCCCTGCACAAACACATGCATGCACACTTGTGTGCACACGCCTTCACACCTGTGCACACAAACTTGTGAACATGCACACATGTGTGCACACACCCAGCAGACACTTGTCTATAGCCTCACACCTGTGCACACATTCACACCTGCGTGCACAAACCACTATGCACACACCTGTGCATACACAGACATTCCCTGAGATGACTCATCTGCCTTCATGAAGGGGAAGGGCTTCCCCAGGCCTGGCCACTGCCCCAAGCAGCCTCTGGACACCTTGCAGCCTCAGGGGGAAGATGTGTCGACACAAAGGCCACGTGAGGGGAGTGTCGCAGTGGAAGACAGTGCCCTGAGGACCCGCTCATGGGGAAGACAGAACACTGAGGAACCTGCTCATGGAGTCCCCAGCTGGCCAGGCAGCCTTGACACTTCCCCTGGCTTGGCCCTCTGAGTCCAGTGTGGCTGCTTCCCTCACCAGTCATCTACCTTTGAGTGTATGAATTTCTCTGAGATAAAACTCTCCTTTCTTTTTTAAATTAATTGTTGCACATTGTCTTTCCTCCTCCTCTCCCCCTCCCCCGCCCACCTGGCAATGCACCCTTTTTTCCAGATTGTCGTCAGACAGAATGCGTAATCACATATTCCTTTCTGCTTAGTTCTCCTCATCTGACCTAGTGCAGTGTTCATTTTCTATCCATTCTTTCCCCATTCTCTCCCCAACACCTCCCTGTCCCATTTTATAACAGTGGTGTTATGCAGTACTCGTCCTTTTGTTACTATTTCACTCAGCATCATGTCCTCCAGACTCTCCCATATCATGTAATGTTTTAGGAGTTCCCTGTTTTTCAGTGCTGTGTAGTATTCCATGGTGTGAATGTACCATAGCTTTTCTATCTGGGCACTTGGCTTGCTTCCATCTCTTTGCTATCGTGAATGATGTAGCAATAAACACAGTGTGCACACGTCTGTTGAGCGGCAGCTCTGGTCTCTTTGGGGTATATTCCCAGTAGTGGAATTGCTGGGTCAAATGGTGTTTCTCTTGCCAGCTTTTTGAGAAAGCACCAGCCCACTTTCCACAGTGGCTGTGCCCTTTTGCATTCCCACCAGCACAGTGAATGAGAGCTCCAATCTCTCCACAACCTCACAGAATTTGTTGTTTACAAAACTCACCTTTTCAATGTCGAGTTCTGGCTGCAGCTTGAGTTTCACACTCAGCAGGACAGCCTGGCAGAGATAAAGGAAGTGGAGCTCAGCCTTCTGGTGGATGATGGACTCGATGGACTCGGTAGACAAGCCTCTCTCTGAGGAGCTAGGCCCTCCCTGGAGGTGGGACACACCCAGTATGCTCTGGAGGGTTGGGGAGTGGCCTAGAGGGCTGGTCAGGGCTTACAGGAGAGTGTGCAGAAAGCAGGTCACCTGTTGAGCTTACAGATGGCCAGCCCACCTGTCCTCTGCCTCCACAGGAAAGCTGAGGGGCTCCTGACGAGACCTGAGGTGTGAGGGGATCCCTTGTAAATGACTCTCCCCCACCCTGTGAAGAGTCTGTGCCTGGTCCCCGTCTGACCAGCGCAGGAGAAGGAGCAGGTTAGGTGATCATTGTGAAAAGTGGACAGAGCTGTTTCAAGCAACCCAGAGTGTCTGACGCTTGTCAGGAAAGTGGGCAGTGTCAGGGGGCTACGTGCTCAGTGCAGGGTCTCACCACCAAGCCCCTGCCTGGAAGGGGACTATGTGCTCAGTGCAGGGTCTCACCACCAAGCCCCTATCTGGAAGGGCTCCACACCTCACCTGGGACATGCCTTTGACTGCAGTCACACACACTGAGCACTTGGCATGTACCAGCTCCCAAAGGCACAAAGATAACAGGCAGGTCCCTGCCCCCACCCACAGCAAGGACTAAAATAGGGCCTGGGAAAGGCCCCGCCTGCTTCCATGGGAGGCTGGCCTTTCCCGCAGGGCCGCTGTCCCCATGCTGCCACAGTCTGGCCAGAGGCCAGGAGTCCAGGCTGGTCAGTTCCTCTGGGCTGGGCAGCCATTCCCATGGGAACTCTGGCCTTTCTTGGAACAAAGACCCTCAAGAACTCTGGGAGCTGGAGACCCTCCCCAGGGAATAGCTGCCCCCAGCCTACATCTGTCACACAAGGTCCCCCGGGTTGGTTCTGCTCATCCGGGCCCCTCCACCTGTGAGTCTTGGGAGGTCAGGGTGGTCTAAACATTGGCTAGGTCTACTCATGGCCTGCAGGGGCCTGCTCCCCACCCATCCTGGGCCCCTCCTGCAGCTGCAGGCCAGGTACAGGGCAGGGTCCTGGTCCGCTATCTCCTTTGAGGTCAGGGTACACAGCAGGGTCCTGGTCAGCTCCTGGTCACGTCTCTGTCATCCTCACGCACATGCTGGCTCCTGTGGAGCGGGTGGGGAGGGGCCCAGGGCCCACCCCACCCCTGGATGAAGTGGAGTGAGCTCTTCCACACTCATGCTTGGTAACGTCAGAAGAGGACTCAGGTGGGTACTCAACACGGACCTTCTCCTCACCTCCGATTCCTTCCAGGGAGGAGAGCAGCTGGGTCCACGTCTGCCCACACAGCCAAGCTGCCTGTCCCCACCCACTCCATCCAGCGTCCAGTGGCTCATCTCTCACTGCCTGGCTTGGCCTCTGCCTCCAGCCACCACTCCATCAGCCATTCCCAGAGGAGAGAGCCCGTCTGTTTTCCCACGCCAGTCCCCCAGAAAGGCCAAGCCAATGGCCAATGGCGCGGGAAGGTCACCTGCCATCGCCTCTCAGACTCAGCACTGGGAGCGGGGGCCTGAGCAGCGCGGAGGGTGCTGGGGACCAGCCGCAGAAGGGCGCTCCCTGGGTGGGGTTGGTCCTTCATCTCCAGTGTGGCCAGGCCCTGAGACCCCTCACTCTTCTCTGCCCATCCACAGATTAGGAGGTGCCCAGCCTCTCCCATACCCCCTACCCAAGGCCGGGAAGCTTCGTATAAAAGGCACAGCTATCTTTTAACCTTGATAAGCTTTTTAAAAAATGTAAATACCACAACTAAGTGGACAAAGGCAGGCATTGAGCCAGACGCCACCCCTCGACATGAAATATCGTGGTGCATTAAGTCGTGAGCTGCTGCTAATCCAAGCAGACAGGCCTGAATGCGGCACAGTGCGGGCTGGAAAGCACCGCCTGCGGCGGCTGCTTGGACAATAGCCCTGCACAGGCCCATGCGGGACAAGAGCCCCCTTTGTGTCTGGGACTGCCGGGCCGGGGGTGGGGTGCATTCAGCCGCCCAGACGCCCGTGAAAGGATGGAGTGTAACTGGAGGCAGTGGGAACGCGGGCCCACCACCTCCTATGCTAACCCCATGGCCTCTGGTCTGTAAAGAGCAGCGTTGCCCCTGTCATTCAGCATCATCCCCACAGCGCCACCACACACCCAATCCTGCCGGCCACTAGGCCATCAGGCCAGGAGCTGTGCCCTCTACTCAGACAGTCAAGCAGAGCTGCCCCCAGCTCACTGGACTCAGGGCCACGCCTTCTACCTGGATGGCCAGGAGTGTCCCTACAGTGTTGCCTCCAGCTCAGCAAACCCAGGCCACGTGCTGCACCCGGTCGGTCGGCTGAGCAGTAACTCCTAAAGAGCCCGTCTCCACGGGCCACCAGGCCATCAGACTGGGGGCCGGCCTCCCTCGACATGGATGGCCAAGCAGTATCCCCCACAATGCTGCCTCCATCCCCCTGGACCCAGAACTGTGCCCTGTGCCCCAGCCCGGCCCTGAGCTGACATCCTGGCATCCACAGCATCTGGACAGTTCCAAAGGCTCGGTGCCATTCCTCACACTGCCAACATGCCGGTCTCAGCGGAGCTCTGGCAGCTAGGACACTCTGAAAGTCCACGACCCCCTCTTGGGGATGCAGAGAGGCCCATGGTGGCAGGAGAGGCAGCCCACCAGTAGCTCTGTCCCTGAGAGGCTCACTTGTGAACCCTGATGCGATTATGAGGCTGCCGCCTGCTGGGGGCTGGGGTCCTCCAGCTGGGCTCCCAGGGCCTCTCCACCATGCTCCCTGTCCCTGTCCCTGCGGCCGGCCCTTGCATAAGTTGAAGCCCACTGCTAGGCCTTGCTTCAACCACCAGTTGGCACGGGAGGGCCACACCAGGTCATCTTGCCCCCTGCCGTGCTCTGAAGGAGTCACTGCTTCCTGTTGCCTCTGGGCTCAGGCCACACCCACAGGCCCCTAGCCAGGCTGTGTGGCACCTCAGTCTGCACCTGGGCCCCTCACCTCCCTCTGCATCTACGGTTCACCAAAGTGCACTTCTCAGCAGGCCCAGAACACCCTATGAACTCCTGGACAGAGTAGCCCCCAAACCTACAAAGGTCTGGAGAGGTCAGATGCTGGCCATCTGGCACTGTTCCTGGGAGTGTCTCCACTGAGTCATCATGTAGCCAAAAGCATGGCTGAGTGTCGAACAGGGTAGGCTGTCTCCTGACCCCCAGAATGACCAGTCACTGCTGGCCAGGCCTACTTCCTAAAGGTCCTACAAACATCAGCCCCTGCTCCACAGTGCCAGGGCAGGGCAACCCTGACAGGGTGTCAGGAATATGGAGATATTGGAGATAACGGGGATGCAGGGGATGATGGGAGTGATGGTGACGTCAGAAATGATGGGGGCTCTGGGGATGCCGGGCATAATGGGGGATTGCAGTGTTGGGGATGACGGGGATGTTGGGGTGTCGGGGATGATGGCGTCAGAGATGTCAGAATGCTGGGGATTTGAGGGATGCTGGCATCTAGGGCTTTCACCTGTGGCCTAGAACTGAGCTCTGTGCGGATGGGGATGCCGGGGTGCCTTCAGGAAGAGAGGATGTCAGAGGTCTAACCTCAGAGTGGACGTTGGTGTGAGTTACTTGGCTGGATCCCAAACCCTCCCAACTGGTTCAGGAGGAAGAAGCCCCGTGCTCCCAGGCAGCCCCAGTCCTGGCCTCTCCCTAAGCAGACTACTCTGAGGTTGTTCCTAGTGAGACCTGCTCTTCTTGCGATGATCAGACGTCATACTCACCTCTTTGAACTTGCCCTTGTCATGGAGGTGGCTGATGTGGTCCAGCAGAAGCCTGCGGTCTGCGTCCTGCAGCTGGAAGATGCTGATGAGCGGCTCAGTGAGGCTGGCAGGGCTCCTGGTAAGGACCTCGGCTGCCCGAGTCTGCAGCTCCCGCAGGTGAGGACTGCCCTGGGGAACATGACGTGGGCTGAGTGAAGGCTTGGGGGGCTCCCACATTCACTCTCCCGCAGCTTGTCCTGGAATCTGACAAGGGAGGGCCCCAGGTCTAAGCACAACTGTTGCTGTTAAGTGCCTTTAAGTTGTAGATGACTCTTAGCGACCCTGTGAACAAAAGACCTGAACACTTGTATAACTCATCATTTCTCATAACTCATCATAGAGTTTCAAAAGCAAGGTATTTTGGAAGTAGATGCCACTCCTGCTTCCAAGCCTGTTTTAATCTGGGAACTCCACCAAACACTGTCCACCATGGGTAACCATTATGACATTTGACGTATCAGTGTCACAGTGTTTAGCATTACAGCAACCACAATTTACCTCTGTGTACAGCAAGAGACAGAGCAGAGGCACAACTAGATGGGAGATATAGGCCTGGAAGTCCTGACCTGTGGGACCAATTTGAGCCAGGCAGCTGGACACAGAGGGGTGGAAGTGGAGACCCTGTCAGGACACTGAGGGCTGGTCCATGTCCCACGACATGAGAACCAAAAGTCTCCCTCCCTGCCTGCCATACACCAGCCCAGTTGGTGAAAGGGCACAGGGGAGCGGATGGGAAGGTCCTGATTTGGAATGTGCACAAGAAGCTTACCTGTGTGGGTCCTGGGTTCACTGGCTGTGCATGCAGCCAGTGCTGCAGTTCACAGACGACCCAGGCCTGTAATGAGGCACATGGCTTCCTGTCAGCTGGGCTGGCTTCTAGCATGTCCAGGAGTCCTGCAAGTGGGTCATCCAGGGCTGCAAACGTCTGCCAGGCTGCCTTCTGGAGCTGTGGAGACAATGATGGTCCAAGTTCGCAGCGTCCATTACCGCACATAGTCCAGCTCACAAACCCCCATCATCACTGCCCGTGGTCCAGACTCACAGCACCCCCCCCCACCTCCAGTCATCACTGCACCATGGTCCAGGCTCACAGATCCCACAATGCATCACAGTCCAGGCTCATGGCCTCCTGCAACCCTCTCCTACAGCACAATAATGGGTTTTTGTTTGTTTTTTTCAGTTTAATGTATTCAGAGAGGTAACTGTTGCTATTCAGCCACCATTCTCGCCCCCAGCAACTCTTCAGGCCACGGGATTCCTTTCTGGTCCACTGCACCTCAAGTCCACAGGGACAGCAGGCATTGTCCTACTAATTATCCCACAAAGACTGGGGTTTGTTCTTGTGAATAAAGGCTGTTCTTTCTCTGAAAGACACTGTGATAGGGACAGGTTTGTTAGCCACTGGGCCATGTCTCTGTGTACCTGCTGGAGGCTGTGCACCATCTACTCTCCTGACCACTGCTGGGTTCCAGCAAGAAAGAGAACTAGAGGCAAGAAGCTAAGATGAGACAGAAAATGTTCTGGCCCCTCCTCCCTGCTCTGTCCTCCCTGCTCCGTTCTCCCTGCTCTGTCCTCCCTGCTCCGTCCTCCCTGGCCCCTCCTCCGTGCCCCGTCCTCCCTGGCCCCTCCTCCCTGCTCCATCCTCCGTGTTCCATCTTCCCTGCCCCGTCCTTCCTGCCCCCTCCTCCGTGCCCTGTCCTCCATGTCCTGTGGATGTGGAAGAGCTTTCAGTGCTGAGCAGAGAGCCTGCGCCAAGTTTTTATGCAGACATGAAAAACAAGACGGTAGTTTAGGAGTGAAATTCTTGCAAACAGTTCCACACGGAGCTCAGGTCCATGGAAACCACTCCGAGGCCCACAGAGCCTGTGATGGTCACCACATTTTGCCTTGAGGGGTGGACAGGTGCCATGGACATTACATGCTCTAAGGGGCCGTTGTCCATGGTGAAGGAGGGAACGACGAGTGACAGTGTTCAGCAAGTGCGGGTCTCATAGAGCACTCTGCCAGGAGCCCCTTGGGGTTCTGAAGTGGTGGGTGGCTGGCAATCTGGCCAGGGGCAGGTGCTCTGCTCCCCTGGGGCCACAGCCTCCCCACTCAAGCTGAGGGTCTGCTACCCACAGAGCCACCCCTTGTAGGCCCAGGAGCCTGTGGGAGAGCATCTGTGGGCACTATAAGCACGCTGTTCCCTCAGCCAAAACTACCCCCCACTGCTGGAGTGTCAAGTCTGTTGAGTGCCCCCCAATGTCCTGTCAAGCAGCAGCCTCAAAGCCACTGTGTGGGCAGGCAGTCGGTCCAGGGGCCACGCGGCAAGGGCCTATGTCCCAGAGCTATCCAGCTCAGTCAGTAGCCTTGACTTGTGGTCCCAAGCCTGGGGAATGGTCCTAGGACACCCTACAGCACACCTTCTCTAGTCCAAATGCGGCTTTGCCCCAGAGGTGGGGCATGCTTGATGCCCCTGGGTGACAGGACACTAGGACTGTGTCTAAGACAGGAAGGGTGTCCACCCACTCCGACCTCTCCACTTGACCTCAGAGAGGCATCAGCCTGGGACAGCAGTCTCCTTAGCAGGGAACCTGGGTAAGCTGTCCGAGATGCCTCCCAACTATGTGCTCACCTGTGTACTTACGTGCACCTCTCCTGTGAACCCTTACGTGCCTCACCTACGTACCCATCACGTGCGCCTCACCTGTGGGCCCACCATGTGCGCCTCACCTGTGGGCTCACCTGTGGACCCAGCATGTGCACCTCAGCTGTCCAGGAAGGTGGTCAGGAAGCATATCCTGCTCTAGAGGCACCTGGAGGGATGTTGCAGGACAAAGACACACCCACCGTTTGACAGCTTGGCCGGGAAGTCTGGGCCCTTCGGCCACCAGGGGGCAGAGCTCGAGTGAAATGAACTCAAACCCCACCAGGGGTAATGGTCACTCCCGCTAGAATGGCCGCAGCACTGGGAATGTGGGGCACCATGTGACATATAATGACATATGACTGGAAGAGATCCATGTTTGTTGCCATCTCAAAAAAAGTTATCCAACAGAACGTGGACATTATCAAACTATATCACTAACATCACATGCAAGTAAAGTCTTCCTGACAATAACTCAAAAATGGCCAGAACATACATAGAAAGGGAACTGCTGGAAGTTCAAGCTGTGTTTAGAAGAGGCCGTGGCACCAAGGATATCATTGCTATGTCAGATGGATCCTGGCTGAAAGAGGAAAATCCAGAAGAATGTAGATTTGTGCGTCATTGACTATGCAAAGGGACCACAACAAATTATGGCTGACCTCGAGCAGAACGGGACACCAGAACACTTAACTGTGGTCATATAAAGCCTATTCTTAGACCAAGAAGCTGTAGTCCAAACAAGGGAACACTGCATGATTTAAAACCAGGGAAGGTACCTGTCAATGCTGTATCCTCTCTTCATACCTATCCAATCTGTATGCTAAGAAAATCACCTGAAAAGCTGGACTTCATGAAGAAGAATGAGGTATCAAGATTGGAGGAAGACTCACAACAACACGCATTAGGCAAATGACACAACCTTGTGTGCTGTCAATGAGGAGGATTTGAAATAGCTGCTGCAGAACATCAAAGAACATGACCTTCAATATGGATTAATCCTGACGAGAAGAAGACAAGAATCCTGCCCCCTGGGCCAACAACAACATCATGACAGATGGAGAGAAAACGGAATTTGTCAATATTTAATCTTGCTTAGATCCACAATCAACACCCTTGGCACCAGCAGTCAAAAAAATCAGAAGATGTATTGCATTGGGTAAATTTGCTGTGAAGGAATTCTCTAAGATGTAAAGGAGTAATGACGTCAGTTTAAATACTAAGGTATCCCTGGTCAAACCATGGTCTTTTCAATTACTCCTATGCATCTATCTGTAAGTTGGACAATGACTAAGGATGACAGAAGAAGAATCAGTGCTTTTGAGTTGTGGTGTCAGAGACTACCAAATATCCTATGATCCGCCAAAAGAACAAATAAATTTGTGTTGGAGAAAGTGCAGCCAGAATGCTGAGGGAGCTCTGGTGGCCTAGTGGCAAGAATCTGCACTGCAATCCCAGAGGTATACTGTTCGAATCCAGCAGATGCTCTGCTGGAGAAGGAGGGCCAATCTCCTCCTGTACCAGTCAGATCTGATTTGACAGCACACACACACACAAATAATTTTTAAAAAAACACCCAAAAAAACCCCAGAGTGCTCTCTGGAGGCAAGGATGGTGAAAAGTCATTGCATATGCTTTGGGCATCTTGTCAGGAGTGGCTAGTCCTTGGAGCAGGACTTTATGCTTGGAAAGGTAAAGGGTCAGTGAAAGAGAGGAAGACTTTCAATGAGATGGACTGACACAGTGCCTGTAACAATGGAGTCAAGTGTGTCAGATGAGGATGGCAGGACAGGTCAGGGTTCAGATCCATTGTTCACAGAGTGGCTATGGGTTATAGTCACTCAAGGGCACTTAACAAAACGGAATTTATCTGAAATTAAGAAAGCAACTGTAGGAAACTCAAAACTTGGAAAGGAGCGGGACACTATGGGAGGAGAAGGCTGGTCTGTGGTAGAACCTAGAACTTGGAAAACCACATGTAGGCCTGGGACAGAAAAGTCCCTGAGGGTCGGCACCTCTCCCTGTGGCAACGTCCTGGCTGTGCCTCCTGTGGCCCTCGTGGTTACGTGGGTCATTTTCAAGCTGTCCAAGTGCCAGCTGGCCTTGTGCAAACTGGCTCATGGGAGGCAGGTGTGGCCACATGACTGGCTCTGGCTGGGGAACGAGGACAGCAGGAAGCAACCCTCCCGCTGTTTTGGGGTCCCTCACCATGCTAAGCCCATGGGTTCCTCAGCATATGTGGACTGTTCCTAGAAACTCACCATAAAGCAAGCCTCAGACACAGCAAGAATGAAAGGGTGTGCCCTTCTCCCACAGAGCAGCTGAGCACAGGCAGGTTTAACTCAGATGCACTCCTAGACTTGTTTGTTAATAGATAATAAACTGGTCCAAAAAACCCAGTGACAAGTGGCCCCAGGGAGACTCCTGACCCTGAAGGAGTAGACTGGCAAGGGCATGCATGTCTGCGGGTGCATGCTGGGATTGACGGTCAATTGAGAAGAGGGACAGAGGGACAGAGAAGCGGGAGGAGCTTCAGAGCTGAGCACTGGGGGGAGGGCACTGTCAGGAGGGCCATGGAGCTCAGCCCAGCAGGGTCTCCTGTAGCCCCAGCGCCCTGCCACACATGACGCATTGGACGCAAACGCCATGAACATCATGTGTGGGGCGAAAAGTCATGTGTGTGAACACTGACATCTGCGGCCAGTGTCCCAATATCAGATGCCACCTGTCTCCACCTGGCTCACCTGCTGCATGTCCTTAGAGGGCCACTGAGCCTGCAGTCCCTGCAGAAACAGGACGGGGTCCGGACCTACAAGGGGCAGAAGACAGAGAGGGTGAGGGGCCTGGAAGGGCTCTGAGGAAGACTGTTCTAAGAGAGCATACCCTCAACTGACAGTGTCCACACCTCAGTCCCCCCACTGTCGCAGTGTCCACACTTTCAACTGACAGTGTCCACACCTCAGTCCCCCATAGTGTCCACACCTCAGTCCCCCATTGTAACAGTGTCCACACCTCAGTCCCCCCATTGTCAGTGTCTACACCTCAGTCCCCTCATTGTCACTGTCC